GATGAGTGTAAACTGCAGAGTCCTGACCTGATGATGTAGCTCGTCTGTGCTGGCTCATTCTTTTGAACAGTGGCTGTTTTTGTTTCCCTGATGTATGACTGATCACAGTCCTCCTGACACTTAACAGCATACACTATATTAACTCTGTTTTTGCTGGGGAACTGGATGTTTGGGGCGAACTAATCTTTGTCGTAACGTTGTAAAGCATTATATTCTTTGTAATATTGGAAGATGTCGTGCTCAGAGTGTGTTCAAGTATCATTTGTTTTCTCATATAAACGTATTGATTTAGTTCTCAGGCAGGACTAGCTTACTCTTCCCTTACCCCAGGCCCACCTCGCTCGTCTTCTACCCCTTCCCTCCCCCAGTTTTCAATCCCCTTTCATTTTCCCAGCATGCATTCTGTTTGTGTGTGTGTCTTATCAACACGTCTCTTTGTCTACCAGCCGGTGTCTCAGACAGGCATTCCTGAGCTGCTGCAGCTCAGTCCTGTTTACTCTTCTCCATCCGTCTGCCTGTCCCTCTGCTCGCAGTGCTTTGTCCTTTTTAGCGCTGCCATAAATCTGTTAGCAAACAGGCAGCAGARCCATCGTCTGGCATCAGGTTTCGGCTCTGCTGTCTCCTCAGAATGCTGGAGCCTAAAACTAACCCTCAATTATGGGGAGACCCACAAACCCAGAGATTCATTTTGCACGTCCCCACAAATCCCCAGTCTATTTCAAATGAAAACCAAAATAAACTTAATGACATACGTTCAGTGTGGCCAAACGGTGCTTTCTTTTTTCTTCTTAAAGAGTAGTGTTTTCTTAAAACTCCAGGACGTCTATATAGAGGCATTTTTTTTTATTTTTTTGCGGATTTTACTAAAATGAGGCCCTGTGAGCTGACTTTAGACTTCAGAGACTTTTATTTTCGGAGAAAATCTGCAATAATTTTCTACCTCCCTTTAAAGCTATTTCTTGATCCTTATAATGACAAAGCAAACACGACTGACAGCAATATGTCTGTATTAAAGAGAGCTTTTTATGACTCTGAAATCCAAGATAATTGAGCTTTTTGTCTGCTTAGTGGATCAAAACATTTACGTCTGCAGCGGCAGCTGAAAGAACTTCATCCAGACCGTGATAAATCACATGTTTGGGGCTTGACGCAGCCTCGCCCGTGTGTTCATGTTGAGTTTTTATGTCTTCCCCTCTGCAGTGCATCCACAGAGACTTGGCAGCCAGGAATGTTCTGGTGACTGAGGACAACGTGATGAAGATCGCCGACTTTGGCCTGGCCAGAGGAGTCCACCAGATTGACTACTACAAGAAAACCACCAACGTGAGTTTCTCGCCACGACTTTTCAGAAACCAGGCTTTCCTGAAACGTACACTTGAAGTTGGTATTTAAACTAAATAACACTAGTTATGGTTTTCCACCTCCCTGCAAAAGCTTGAGCATAAAAAATCTAAATATTAGGGGAAAAAAGTGAGTGTGAAAAATACAACCATATCCAGACCACAGTCAGTTGACTCCTTTTACAGTTTTATACACTTGAAGACAGATGTCTGATGTTTTCCCCAGATTGGCAGCAGACTTAATGAGACTTAATCAGAAAAAGGAGGGAGAGGTGAGAGAGCACAAAGAGACAGAATGAAAATTTGTATTTAAGAAAAAACTTTAATGAGAACTTTGCAGAGACGTATGTTCTGCAGCTGCCAGTAGCTGTGTTTCCATTGACCATGGAAATGGACAAATTAGAATTTCGAAAATAAATTTGCTCAATGGAAACACGTCAATTTCGAAAAAAAAATCACGATTTTCGGTAAAATGTTTTTGCACTAGGATGAGGTGGTTTTTCAGCCGTATCGAAATTGGTGTTTTTCACAAAACTGCAATGGAAACACTTTGGAGTCATGGAGTCACGTGATCAACAACCGTCTGTTTCTACTGGTGAAAAAGACGATGATGAAGAAGATAACAG